GTGGGTCCCCCGCCCCCCCCCCCCCCTTCCCCCCCCCCCCCCCAGGGCAGACATGCTACCCTCCTCCCCTCCGCTCCCTTCCAGCAGCATTTCAGGTCCTTGCAATTCTATTTTTTTGAGGTTATTTAAAATAAAAGCTTTCTCACAGCAGCCTCCTGGCTCCTCTGTCCTGGGAAGCATCGGGGCCATACCATGGAACGAGCCCATCCTAGGGGCCAGGCTGGGACAGGGGGGTCTCCCTTAAGCTCAGATCCAGGCCTGAGCTTCGGCTCAGGTGAAAGCAGGTGAATTTCTGGCTCAGTCTCGAGCTCTTCCTGACCTTCAGGGCTAGAGCCGCATCCCTGGACCATGTGCCTCCTTCCCTTGCTGAGCTGGCGGCATCTTGGCGCCCGCGGGTTGGCACGGCACCGCGCTGCGGCTTGGTGTGAGTGCCACGTGCCAAGGCCAGCCGCTGGCTGCGGCACCCGGGGTTGTGCGGCACCAAGGCTCTCACAGAGGATGACGGCAGGGACGGCGTTGCAGGGCACCGTGGACGCGGTCCCAGAGGAGCCGCGGTGCTGGCCAGCCCCAGCTGCCGTGCCGGTTGTTTATCCCTGCGTCCGCTTTGCTCCTCTTGTTTTGTTGCAGTTTCATTTATGGTCGTGCTGCTGGCAAAGGCACTTGCCAAAATGCTCCTGATTTTTCCATCTTGTAGCAAAAATGTCTGAAAGGAACAGGGAAAACGTGCAGGACTGGCAGCAAAGCCAGTGACTTGTAGCCTTTTTTAGGGCCAGGAGGGCTGTTCCCATCCACCAAGTCCTGGCTGCTCCCGGCCTCTCCCGGGCTTGTGCTTGGGTCCTCGGCTTGGTTCTCACCACCAGATGAGCCAGCTCGGGGGTGAGCAGGAAAACCTCCATCCCTGGGACTGCGGCAGGTTTAGATCCCCGCAGTCATGGTTCCCAGCTCTCCATACGGCATCCCCTGGGCCTTGGCTGCTCCCCATGCCCCCCCCCAGCGAGGCCGGGCTGCCTGGGGACATCCTTGCCAAGCCCCTGAGGCACTGGGAGCCTGACCTCGCCACAGGGAGCCAAGCCACTGCCCTTCGTACCCCCTCGCCATGGTGGGCATGGGCCTCCTGCCCTGCAGCTGGGGTCAGGGGGGCCACAGAGCCCTCCGGCCCCCACCACCTGCTCCCAGCCCCAGCTGGGGGCTCTGCCAGCTGCCAGCCCCTGGCCTGGCTCACAGGGACCACCAGCGCAGCCAAGGGAGCAGGACCGGCGCTGGGCCCGGTTTTCTGTCCTACCGACGGGCAGAGAGCCGGCTGGGCTCCAGGGAGAAGCCCATGGGAGGGCATCAGGCCTCTGTTGTGCAACCGCGGCCGAAGCTCTGGGAGTCTGTGGGGGCCGGAGAGCTCCCGCGCGGGGTTGCAGCAGGCTTCATTACCAATAGCATCCACTGACGAACCCCTCCAGGGAGGGAATCCTTTGCCAAAGAGTCGCCAGCCCTGGGCCCCCCTCACCCCATGGAGCATGGCCCCCTGTTACAAAAAACCTCAAACCTCCTCCTGGTCCAAACCTGTGAAGGAACAATGTTTTGGGGAGAAAGATGTGGGGAGTGGCAGAACCCCCCCAGCCCATGGTGCTGCCCAGCCCTGCTCCCGGGAACCCAGGATGCTTTTGCCACGAGCTGTGCCCAGCCGTGCCGCTCATCACACTCCGGTGGGGATGTGGGAGCTGGGGCAGCCTCCTGCCATCCCCCCCTCGTGGCTCAGGAACAGATGTCCCCTGTCCTGTCCCACGGCAGCCCTTGGCTCCACTACCTCCACCAGAAAGGGAGTAACACCAGGTCTATGGCTTCCCAATCACTTCCCCGCTGTCACCCCCGGCCAGCTCCGGCACTCGTGGTCACGGTCCCCTTGAGAAGGGGACATGTCCCCACTTGCCCCCTGGGCAGCCCCACCAGCCAGCTCCTGGCTTTGGCAGAGGCTCTGGGAAGGCAGGCGTGGACGGGGCCGATGTTTTGGCATCACCCGGCCCTGGCGCGGCAGGTCTGGGCAACGGAGCGATAGCAATCTCTGCTGCCGGGCGTCCTAACCGAGCGTGCTGCCCGACTGCCAAGCGCTGGCAAGCTGCAGCCTGCAGAGAGCTGCTGCGCCGAGCATGGCTGGCGGGTGCCCAGGGCTGGCCCCGGCCGTGCCACCTTGCCTGTGCCAGGCCCGGTGCCCTCCAACGCGCTCTGCGGCCGCTGAAACTCTCCAGGACACATCGGTCTGCGCAGCGCTGGGCTTGGTTACGGCCTGGAGGTGCTCGTGGCACGTGTGAGCTCCCGGCAGTGCTGGCTGCTCCGCTGCGGCAGCTGGGAGTGCCACGGGACCACAACGGGCAGAAACGCCTCGTCCCCAGTTGCGGCGGGAGCTCAGGACCAGCGTGGCCCCCAAGCCGGGCGCTACACGGCCCACGGTGCCTGACCATGGGCTTGGCTGCTCCTTTCCCCATGACATCCCTGCAAGGGGCTGCAAAGGGCAGCCCTGGTGCTGCAGGCGGGGTGCTGGGCTCTGCTGCGATGAGGTCTGCGCCGCAGCACCCACTGCAGTCACAGGCAGCCCGTGGCTCGGCAGGGACGGCTCGGGGACTGGTGGCACAGCCGGCTTTGTGCCAGAGTCACTGTCACATCTGCTGTGCTGCCACCAAAACACAGCCCGGCGCTCCTGAGGATGGCCGGTGGCTCTCACTCCGGCACTATCCGGCCACAGCTCCCTGCACTGGGGGGGATGTTTTGGGGCCCCTCAGTCCTGCCGGCGGGCAGCTGCCCGCTGGCATGGGCTGCATGGCCGTGCCCGGCACACACAAGCCCATCCCGGTCTGGGAGAAGCCACTGTTTCCATGCAGGCCGGCGTGACTCAGCACCAGCAGCGTGTCCTGGCCCCGGAGCCAGCTGCAATGGCCTCGCCGTGTGTCAGACGAGGGTGCCTCGGCCACGGCGGCAGCACCACGCGCACCCGGGAAGCCCAGCCAGTGTGGGGGGTGCTCCTCCCTGTGCAAATGCCCCCGAATCGTGGTGCAGGCGATTGGCGGCCTTGCTGCCCGCCGGAGTCACCCGTGGGCTCACCGCCCGTGTGCTCAGCACACCGTGGGCACCGTGTGCAGCCGGCTGGGCATGTGGCTGACCAGCCCTGGCCCCAGCTGCTGGGCATGGGGAGGGGGTCTAGGGGGCAGGCCCCGGGGGGCTTTGGTTGTTGTCCTGTGGCAAACGCACACCGGCTGCACCGAGGCCACGCAACCGCTCCGTGTGCCGGCAGCAGCGCCAGGGCCCGACCGGGGCCACGGTGTGGGACCCCGCCGGTTTGGACCCCCGGCGCTCCCCGTCCCGCCAGACCCGCCATTCCCGCTCCCGAACCCCGGCTCGGGCAGCCAGGCTGGTTCCTCTGGTTTTGGGACAATTTGCGCCAAATCCTGGGCCCGGGGGTGGGGAGTGACGTTGCCACGGGTTGGGGGCGAGCATCCTTCACG